ATACCATACATACATACATACATACATACATACATACATGCATGCATGCATGCATGCATACATACATACATACATACATATATATGTACAGAACTCTATATTGCTTGTAATTTTGTTGGAAAAAAGCCAATGTGCAAGACTATCAAGATCCTTTTGACATTGAGCCTGTTTTCTGAAATGTAAGCAAACTTTTCCATCCCCCACAAGCGTCACATCATCTACAAAACTGCTGAGCATCCCCTTTATCCTCTTTTTTTTAAAAAAATGTTGATCAATACTGTGCCAGGACAGAATCCTGATACATATTTCTTTTCATGGAGACATACCGGTACATTAATTGGGGACCATAAATTGACTATGGTTATTCAACAATCCATTTGGGAGTGGCAACATCACACTGTTCTATTTAATCAACATAAAACTTGTTTTTAACACAGTCATACTGATTTCTAATTATCACTTTCTTCCTTATACACTTGTTACCTTGTGGTTTTCTGCATTCTCCATGGCAAAATACGATGGCATTCCAGTGACAAGAACTCCTAGTAAGACAGCTTCAAAATACAGCACAAGAGTGAAAACTGTGTCAGTGATTTCCTACAAATAAAGAGATTTTCGTGTAAGAAAATTATTGCTTTAAAAAATATATTGAAATCTAACAAAGTCTAAACATATGGCCTGCTTATTTTCTATGCTATAGATCATGCCTCATTAACTGCATTTCGTTTCATGTGTCTCATATTAAATAATCCTAAAATACCAACTAATCCCAATCTGTAATTAATTTGTATTAATACATCAAAAAATAGGCAGAATGCTAAGAACTTTAAATAACATGTTTAAGCCCCAAAATGTATGGATACAATTTTCCTTTCTGATGTATCACCTGATACTGACAAATATGAACCCACATTACATTTCAAAACGGCTTTGCAACCATTTCTAGCCACTATCACAAGCCTTAGTAGTTTTTTTTTCTTTTATATTATCCCTTACTATAATTGATAAATTTCAAGACACCTGTACATTCTTTATAATATTAGAACTAGGTTATGCCTACATTAGAATGCAGATAATTTTTTATCGTGCCATGGAGGTACGAGCTATATTGTGCTATGAGCTACACTATGCAATGTGTTTGTTTCCAGCATTCTTTCAAATCATAAAGCAGAGAAAGTGAAGAGCATTACATGCATGACAGCACTAAAATCATTTTGAGACAAGACTTAAAAATGTCTCGACTCTCATAGCTTGGTAGTTCTTCAAATTATTACCAGAAAGATGGAGGCACAGCTTATAACCAGTTGAGAATCAATGTATGTCAAGAGCATTTTAGATTAATGTTGTGTACAATTGGCAAAGTACACTTTCTTGAAAGTATATGTGGAGACTTTCCAATTTTCATTTTTGGGGGAATCTCTGGCTTCAAGTGCCATTTCCCAGCTTAGAATTTCTCCAGCATACATACATGAAAATTATTCTGAAAATTTGTACTATGTAAATGGTAAAACTAGAGCAATCAAAGCTTGAAAATATGTGTACAAATGCCAAAGTTAATGTAAAAAAATGCTTAGTGAGTAACATCAATCAATTGAAGCTATAGTAAAATACAGGCAAGAATGGCCAAAATCTTTTAATTCTTAATATATAACATCATTATATGCAGAATTTACAATATCAGCATTTGGACTTTCATATTCACTAACTTGAAAGAAAGGGTTACTCCAAACTTGGATCTTTTCAGTTATGTTTGAACTGTATAGATAGAAGTTGCTAATAATATTCATCATAACAGGTAAAGAATGTATCATGGTGCGATTAAAAGCAGCTGTAAAGGTATAACTCTGCAAATAACAAAGATAAAAATTAAATTTGTTATATTTATGAGAACACATCTGGGTATAATGCAACAATTAATAAATATCTCATGACAAAAAAGGAACTAAAATGGACTTTTAGAAGCATAAAATGATGCAATATGGTATTCATGCTATTTAAAATATGAATCAATGATATCATTAAAACAGATTAAATTTCTTTATGATTTGATCACAAGATATTAGTGCATCTCTGCTGAATTCTCAGTGGTATTGTCAAATAGTTTCCTAGTTTTGGGTGATTATCTTGAAATCCACCCTCCCTCCCTTCCTTCCTTCCTCTCTTTTTCTCTCTCTCTCTTTCATTAATTGATATGCCTCCCACCTTGCTGTTGAAGTGATTGTACGTAGCTTAAAAATGATAACAAGGCAATATCATTAAAATTAAAAAAGATTAAATAGAGACTGAAAACCAAGAGAACAAATAATGGGGTGGGCACCTTCTCTGCAGCCTGTCAGCATAAAGCACCCCTATCAGGCCCTCTGATCTAATCACTGAAATCTATTCATTAGTAATGATTCACATGCAGTTAGATGGAGAAGTTATTTCTGGCACACATGATTGAACAGACTAATTAATACACTTCTATAAGCCTCCTTAGCAATCTGTAAGAACTGTACATGTTTTATTTGCAGTTTTCTTTAACAACCAACATATTTTGTGGACAGAAAGGTGCTGAATAGCATCTTGATGGAGAAGAACAGGCAGAGCCAGGGGACGAAGTTAAGTGAGTCAGCAGTCTAGAGTCATTACTATTCCCACAAATGGTCTAAGTCCAACCACTCTTGAACCTCTCTTCAATTCCACTGACCCTTATCTAGTGTCAATCCTTGGCATTGAATAGTTTTTTTATCAGATTTTCATGTATAGGCTTGAGCAATAAATCGTAACTGCAGCTTAAGGTATGGTCCTGATTCTTCACACCTGACAGTTCATGAATAAAGCTTAATTTGCTGAGAATAAAATGGAGAGAAGACCTATTTTCCTTTTTTTGTGATACAACTCGTGGGGCAGCCTTTGCTACCACAATAGGGTGGCTATACATTACCTGCAGTGGCTATGCATTACCTCCAGAAACAGAGGCAGCACATTTCTTAATGCCAGAGGGGAGACGGGGGAAAGCTCTTGGATTTAAATCCTATTTGAAGATGTCACAGAGGCCAATTATTAGCCTCTGTCGGAACAAAATGCTTGATCCAGTGGGGGCTCATGTAGTTTTGTGTCTAGTGTAACACATAAAGTAGCAGATATTTTTCTTGTATTTGGTAGCAGCTGCTATGCAATAGAATGAATATCCTTTAGGGAAGATTTCTTTGATGCATATTTTGACAGGTTTCCTTTATCCTCAACATCTTCAGATGAAGAAATTTTTATTTTAGAATAGAATTCTTTATTGGACAAGTGTGGTTGGACACACAAGGAGTTCGTCTTGGTACAAATACTCTTATTTATTTATTTTTATTTATTTATTTAGTCAAGCGATTATAAGATAACAGGTATAAGTATAAACATAGTTATGAATACATGAAATGGATACATATAAGAAAAATAAAAAGAAACAATAGGACAGGGACGGTATACATAAAAGAAAAGATACATTCATCAAGAATCATAAGGTATAACACTTAATGATAGTCATAGGGTACAATAAGCAATCAATTAGATTGATGGTTTCTGGACTGCTTTTTTTAGGGAGGAGGAATGAATTGGGCCAACTGTTTTCATGTTTCACACCTATTTTCCTGTTTCTTACTTAAGAAATCCTGTTGGAGGATTTTTTTTTTTTTGTTTGATCTGAATGGATTATGATTGGATTTATAACCCAGGTGTACATTATATATTATTATCTCTGAGAGAGATGGTTGATTAAGAAATATGAAAGACAAATAAAATTATTATTTTTGTTGTCGTATAGTTTTATCTATTCCTGGGTTACATTTTTATTGCACCTTTATTACTTTATAAGTAAGTCAAGGTGGCAAACCTACCTAACACTCCCTCCTCCAATTTTCTTGTCAACAACCTTGTGAGGTGGGTTGGGCTGAGAGATTGATTGGCCCAGTCACCAACCGGCATTCATGCCTAAGGCAGGACTAGTAGTCACCGTCTCCTGGCTTGCAGGCCAGCACCTTAACCATTATATCAAAGTAGTTCCTTTCTTGATGTTAAACCTCTGTGTCCCACCTAGAGTTGTTGTCCTGAGATGGGAAACTATATATATTGTTTGTTTATATGTATAAATAATTATTTTTGTTATTTTAACCTTCCTCTATGTTTTATGTTACTTTAAAAAAGCACCTCACATTTAAGACAGATAGGCAACATTTTAATGGCTGGGAGGTTGCATTTCATATTTTAGGGACAGGCAAAGGATCAGTAAGAATGGGAGAGGCAAAATCAGCAGAGGCACACCATTCACATGCACAGGGCTAGAATTTCATGCCCTATTCCCCACTGGGAACTGGGTAATTGCAGTCACAGTGATTTCTGGGTGTCCCAAATGAGCACCAAATATTATTTAAAATAAATACTAATAATATTCGTTTTATGGATATGTATACATTTTATTCCCTCGCAGAACTGAAGTGTCCAAAGGCAATTCACCATCGACAAATTTATTAACCTGAAATAGTTCTGTCCCTAGCAAATTTCGGATCATATTGTACAACTACATATAATTGCACACACATTTTACTAAATTCCTGTATAGTCAAAGAAAATTATTATCTCTTCTTACCTTGTCTACTTTAAATACATGTAATGCTGCACTATGTGGGGCAAATGACACATATCTACTGTTGTTTAATGCTGTACTGTGGAAATCTGCTGATTCATAATCACTGTCATTGAGTACCTCTGTCAGTATATTCTGGTTTCTAAGAGCACTAATTAAGTCATCGATGTTTGACCCTAGATTGAAAAAAAGGAGAACATGGCATAAAAATATCACAACTGTTCCATACATTCAGAGCAATTTAAGTATATAAAATTTAACCAGTTAACTCTTAAAAGAGATCCAGGCACCATGTAAGAGCCTCTGTGGCACAGTGGTTAAAGTGTTGTACTGCAGGCCATTTCTGCTGACTGTCGGCTATTCAAATCCCACCAGGCTCAAGGTTGACTCAGCCTTCCATCCTTCTGAGGTGGGTAAAATGAGGACTCAGATTGTTGGGGGCAATATGCTGACTCTGTAAACTGCTTAGAGAGGGCTGTAAAGCACTGTGAAGCAGTACAGAAGTCTAAGTACTGTTGCTATATCTGGAGGGAGGGATGACAATATTTTAAAAAAGTGGGTCCTTTTCAATTCTAGAGTCTCAGGAAATAGCATTTGAGTGGGGTGGACCAAAATGACAAAAGCAGAATTACAGCATCATGAAACACCCCAATACCTTTTATAGCATAAAGGGAAAGAGCTTATGATGCAACCTTGCTTTTGTTCCTGCAGGTGCATACAAGGTTAGGCTCTCCATTGGTCATCTGTTAGTCTGAAACCTACATGCAAATATGCACCTGAACCTTTTAATTCATGGCTTCCTTATCCATAGTTAATATGAACTTGAATTCATTATTCAAGACAATCCACTTTGCATTATCCATTCTTTTCGGTACAGGTGTTGTATGTGGTCTGTCATTTTGCTCTGCAGAAATATGGATGTAGCTTTCAGTCAATTTCTCAGTAACCCCAGCACTATGCCGTGTTTCTAACATGTAAAATGAGCTGCTTCTTCCAGAGTGAAAACGGAGAAGTCTACAATGTGATGACCCAGGGCATGGCACAGAGGCAACATAGCCAGCTGAAAGTTCAAACTCCTCCTTTAATGGTCCAAATTTCCCCTCAAATGCTCCCACATTCTTGGCAAGTCCTAGAGCAAAGTGCACACACACAAGCATAGCAGCCTCCGGCTGTACCCAGTCTAGCAAAATAAGGAACAGGGAAAGGAGTCCACAAAACAAGGAACAAACGAGTCCAACAAAGTCAAGAAGCAAGCAGTCCTGCAAACTCCAAATGTCTGTACCAACACACCAAACTCTACCAATTCAGCGTTTGTTCCCAACAAATGCCCCTCCCCATAGCGTCTCCTTAAGTCTCAGTCCCCAGGTGTGCCTTGTGAAGAGGGAAGGGGCACTCTCCTCCCGAGTAGTCATGTCAGCCTGCACTGTTCCAGCCTTCTCTCCACTCTCCATACTCGAGGATCAGGAGTGGGTGGTCCTTGCTCATCGCCTGAGCTCTGTCTCTCATATTCACAGCTTAGTCTCTCTTGGTCATCCTGCTCCAGTTCCTGTGTGCCTACTAGCTACCCCAATCCTAAAAGACCATGGCCTGCCTTGGCCTACTCCTCCCCACATTCCTCTGAAGCCAACAAAGCTGCCCCCTTGATCTCAGTAGGCTCCAGTTCTGGCGCATCTTCCTCCACAGGTTCTGGCTTGTCTTCCTCAGGCTCTGACGGGGGCATGATACTATAATTTCTCACCAATTCTCAATATTCTTTAAAATGCTAAATAGAGATGAAGTGCTGACAATTTCAATTGTGGAATTAGGAACCCCAGGCCTTCTTTATTTTATTTTGTAATCTTTACTTTTTATTTTTATTGCTATTTATTTTTATTTTATTATTATTATTATGAATATAGTGGTACTTCGGTATTCATCATTATTTTGTTCCAGGAAGTGCTATGACTACCAAAAAAAATGAGTACCAAATAAAATTTTCCCATTAAAAATAATGTAGTGAGTTACAAGGCAGCCGAAATTGACAAGTTCTAGATTGTGAACAAATGATGAATACCGGGACAAAATGTTCACATCAAAATGTGTTGAGTACCAAATTTGATGAGTTTCAAAGCAGTTGAATACCAAGGTACCACTGTACTGTATTTTATTTTGAAAATTATTGCCTTAATTTTTTTTATTTCTTATTCTTTATTTGAAAAGAAAACTGAATGAGAGAACCTAAGATCTAAAGTGGCTACCATACAGTTACTTCTATGATTTTTGGGAGAATCTCTGCTGTCTTTTCAATCATTTTACAGCTCTTAAACATCCCCATAACCCGAAGATGTTGTATCATTACAGGTAATCCTCGCTCACTGACTGGCATAATCACATGATGTTTCACTTCACCACCACATCAGTTAGCGATGGAGTTTCCAGTTCCAATTTTGTGTTTTGCTTTGAAAAGCTAGGATATAATCCTTTGGAACAAGAAAGTCCAACTGTAGTTGATTTTATACATATGAAATGAAGAAGTGGAAATGCCAGGAACTGAAATAAAACCAATCAGTACATGACATTTAAAATGTAGTTCTTAAATTTCTTACCAGTGGAGTTTTGAATGAGGAGACTGGTTTTGTACTTGTCATATGTTTCGTTGGTCTTAAGAAAATATAAATTTGGAGACAGCTGTATAGGGACTACAGCTTTTTTGAAATAGTGATGTACAACAAACATAAAAATTTGAACAAGAAGAAACACTGTAAATAACAAAAATCTGAAAGAAAAGAAAAAACAGGCATAATGCCTTTGCATTCATAGTGGTCCATTTAAGAACTAGATCAGAGTTGGGCAGGCTTGTCTAGAGAATTCATTACTTCACATTTCATTACAGTCCAACAGTGACTAAAAGTATCTTGAGATGTTGAGAGCTGTAATTAAATGGTTTAAAATGTGAACTTTCCTATAATACACACCAGTTATAAGTTTGTAAATACTTTTTAAATTCTCAGTATACAATTAAATGCAGCAAGTATATAGAAAAATTATGTTTGACAATTACTGCTAGAGTGAGGCATCAATTAATCAATCAGACTGAGCTATGCCAACATTTCTCTCTTCCCTGAGAGAGAAGGAGAAAATGCTTGTAGGACTAGCATGTAAAGTGTTTGCACCCAGTGTTGTTATCAGTCAGTTGTTGCCATAAGCTATCAATTTTAGGAATCATCATACTTATCTAAAAATAGAATATTGGCAATAAAATGTAAAAATTTAAAGTGCCAATTTAATAGTATGCAAATTGACTTCGGTTAGTATACAAGTCTAAGGGCTATTGCTATTGCTACAGAAGTAACTTCTGATGAAACACTGCAAGAAATCATAATAGCTGCCAGTGGGTACATTTGGAACAATTGTTGTCGTCTCAGCCACCTCTTGCCATCAGGTTCCTTGAACTGCTATCAACAAGCCTTGCCTCTGGAATGATGCTGCTGTACTTCAAAAAGGGCCTCTCCCGTTACCCACCCATTTTGAAACTAGCCCAGGCTAGTTGAAAGTGACCATATATAATTCATGCTTTTGATTGCTTCTAATCAAACCGCAATATACTGCTTTTAAATCAGATTAATTCAAAGTTGAGATACTTACACCACTGTCACTGACTTAATTTCACGTTTTAAGTTCAGGAAATGAACCTTTGCCATAGTGGTGACTTGTTTTTTCCAGAGAGACTTTCTGTTCACTACACAAGATTTTACTTCAGAGAGCATTAGTAGGCTTTGCTCTAATTCATCAGTAGATTTTGTATCCATTTCTTCTTCTACATTTTCTGAGTTGAATACACTAAAATCTAAGAAAGAGAAAAGAATAGCTTGTGCAGCTTAAATTTTACTTCCAAGTAGATCAGGGGTATGTGTGTGTGAATATATACAGGTAGTCCTCAACTTACAAACAATGGTGGGATTCAGCCAGTTCGCACCACTTCGGGAGAACCAGTTGTTAACTTTCTGAGCAATTTGGTGAACCGGTTGTTAGAAGAAATCATTAGGGCAGAGAACCGGTTGTTAAATTATTTGAATCCCACCACTGCTTACAACCATTCATTTAGTGAGCATTTGAAGTTGCAATGGCACTGAAAAAAGTGATTCACGACTGTTTTTCCACACTCACAACCATTGCAGCATGGTTATGTGATCAAAATCCAGACATTTGGCAAATGATTCGTATTATGATGGTCGCAGTGTCCCGGGGTCATGTGATCACCTTTTATGACCATCTGACAAGCAAAATAAATGGGGAAGGCAGGTTCTCTTAGCAACCATGTTATTAGCTGCAGTGATTCACTTAACAACTGTGGCAAGAAAGGTCATAAAATGGTGCAAAACTCAACATCTGTCTTGCTTAACAGCAGAAATGTTGGGCTCAGTTGTGGTCATACATTGAGGACTAACTGTACAAGTAATTTGAAGGAACCAGTGAAGCTTCCATCCCAAAAATGTCATTGCCCAACCCAATTTATAAAAAATTGGGTTGGGCAATGACATTATACTATTATACTATTCTATAAGCTGAAATGTAATTGAATAATGAAAAATTACTAATGAAACAGTATTCATGATATTGTATTTAAAACACAGTATAGGAAGTTAGGCAGTTTTCCCCAACCCCCTTACCCGCTTGGTCAATCTCTGCTTCGGCTTCCAGCTTGAGGAAAACATCCTCCAAGGTTGTCATGGAAACACCGTAAGAAATAACACCCAAATGAGCATGGGTATCTAGATCAGCAAACAGCGCTATAAGAAAAAGTAGCAGTGGAGGTCTTAGTAATGAATTTGTAAATGCAATCATATTTCTCTGCATATTTCCTTTTTTACAGTTGCTTAATGAACCGTCTTCTAATTTCCCCAAAACTTTATTCCAAAAGCAGGAAAACGATAATACTTGTAGGTAATAAATGTATCTGGGGTTAACTGTTCTCTGTTAAAGTAACTATCAACTCTCTGTATATTAATATTGAGCTCAAGTGCAATTAGCAACATAAGTCTTCCGCTTTTCTCTGCAATTCAATAGAGGAAAAAGTTATACCTGAAAATTTGTCCATATCTTTAAATGGTAATGCATATATCAGCTGTTCTTCATTCTGTTTTAGCAAACTTGATCCAGGGATGTGCTGTCTGATGACAGATGCTGTAGCTTCTGTGTTACAATACCTGTCTATGTGCATACTAAGAAACACATACAGATATCATTGTTTTGCAAAGGGATGCACGATATTCATTATAGGAATAAGAAGAATTACTCTTATGCTGCTGCCTAATTGAAAATGTATCTGTATTTTCATAATCCAGTTCATGAAGGGTATTCATAAATAGTATTTATTAGTTACCATCCCAAGGGTGCTTACAATATAAATTAGTAAAGTTTAATAAATTTCAGCAAAATCTAAACCCTTTAAAAAAATGACTACTGAACTACACAAACAGTTCAACTATTTTAAACGATAGACCAGAAAGGTCAAGCATAGCTTAAAACCGCTTTAAAAGACACCAGACCAAAGTCGGGGATATATAGTCAGTCTTCAACTTACAATCATTCATTTAGTGACCATTTGAAGGTACAATGGCACTGAAAAAAGTGACTTATGACTGTTTTTCACTCTTACAGCCATTGCAACATTCCCATGGTCATGTAATCAAAATCTGAACATTTGGCAACTGGTTCGTGTTTATGACGGACACAGTGTCTCAGGATCATGTGATCACTTTTTGGGACCTTCTGACAAAGTCAATGGGGAAGCCAGATTCATTTAATAGCTATGTTACTAACTTAACAACTGCAGTGATTTCACTTGACAACTGTGGCAAAAAAGGTTGTAAAGTTGGGGGAAACTCACATAACTATCTCATACAGCAAGTTGTGGCCATAATTTGAGGACTACCTGTAACGGGTCTTCGCTAAGAGGTTTAAGCAATAATGGAGGAGCAGGTAAATAAGGCTTACTTGATGTTTCCCTGGTACATTAATGCAAGCATAAGCAGTCCTTCAAACTGGACTCCAATTATTTAAAGATCAATGTTTAAGTACTCTGAATTGAGATTTAAAACTGAACTAGCAACAGACAGTAGGGTAGACATTACAGATGAACAGTCTAGTCTCAACAAAAACTTGACTAGCTATATTCCATACTAGCTGAAGTTCTCAAGTAATTTTCAATGACAGCTTCAAGCCAAGCATGGTAACAATGTTAACCATGCAATCCAATTCGTATTACGATCACCTAACAATGAAAGAATTTTGATTTTGGTTATTTCAATGTGTTTAAAGAGCAGAAATATTGAAGCAGGATTGTGACAGACATTAGAATAGAAAGTGGTTGTACCTCAAACGATAGCCAATTCCCCATTTTGTCTTCAGGAAAAGGGAAGATCCAAGACATTTCAGCATTCCTTGAGAAATTACAGCTTTCCGATCTAGAAGTAGGCCAGAAGGGATCTTTATCATAAATAAAGCTTATAGGGTAGCAACCAAAAGTATCTTACTTATATTATGGATAATATATATCTAACCTAAGAGGCATCTAATTGAACATGCCTGCAAGAATGTCTGCTTCATCCATGAAATGTGTACTGAACACTGTCACGTGGTTGGCTTTTCTGTTTTTCAAGATGTTCCAAATTGTATGTCGGGAGCATGGATCCATACCAGCAGTCGGCTCATCCAAGAGTAACACCTAAACAACAGCCAGGGAAAATAATAGATAAAATTAAGTATTCATTTTACAAATATGAATGCTGCATGGCACTAAAACTGTAGGGAAATCAAAATATTCTAAATGGTGTGGGGAAGGTGGAAAGAAGTCCCATAAAGCCCCATGATGGGCAGAGTAACTGAAAAAAAATGTTTGCTGAGTACTGAAAGGAAACGGGAAGGAGGCTGAATTATAGTTAATCCTTACTTAACAATGGCAACTGGGACCGAAATTTGTTTGCTTCTGTATGTGGAGAAAGTCCTTTTCTAGAACCTCAGTTCACTGTGTAGGTACTATAATTGTGAGTTGTTTTCTGCTTGAATACAGTACTTATTTCTATTGGTCAACTGTAATTTTGAATTAAGGTTTTTTAATTTTTCTTTACTGACACTGTATATTACCGAATTAGTTATATGGTTTAATTTATGGTAATATTATTTTGAATCTATTTTAAAAAGTGTTGTTCAAATGAGTGCCATAAGGATTTTAGACAGTAAATAGAAGAGCCCGGAGTAAAATTTGGTGTTATTTCTCTGTGGATATGTATGTACACATCTAAATAAAATTCCTTTATATTCTAGTATTCTTCAGGGAAAGTGTTTAGGCAGCTAGAAAGCCATGTGAAATCTAGCCAAGTTCTTGTAAGGTTGTGTGCTTAAAGTACTCTTAAAATACTCTTTTAAGATTAAGTAGAGCCAGTTGAGAGAAGGTAGCCTATACAGTAATGTGGGAAAAGGTATTAATTGCTTAAGCCTTGATTGAGGGGACTGCTGCTGTTTGGGCAAGTAGTATTTTTATTATCTCAACTCTCCTAATTTGTACAACCCAATTATAGTTCAGTTTGTATGTGGCTTGCAATTGATAACGAGTATCATGACCAGTATTTCTGTTACTTTGCTATTTACCTTTGGATCACCAAGAATTGCAATTCCAATTGACAGCTTTCTTTTCTGTCCACCACTTAGTTTTTTTGCTTGGTTATCTTTAATGGGCTGCATATCCAAGTCCAATAAAATCTTTTGGACCTTTCAAAATCAAGCATGAAAAATATTTAGAGATAATTAAAACAAGTAATTCCATAATTAATCAGGCTATTGTCACTAAAGCTCAAGGAATCTAAAAGTTTTGTAGCTTACCATGATATAATATATTATGAAAATAACTCAAATTCCATGTTATTTATTCCCTGCAATTTCAAAAAGAACCCTATTCTGGAAGAGTTCAGGTGAGAGGTTTCCAAAACCAATACGGTATCCATCCATCCATCCTTCCATTCAATCATTAAAGTGGTTTTTTTAAAAAAATATTTTCCTTCAGCTAATCATATCTCTTTTAAAATAGGTCGAACTGGTATTTGAAAGTTCAGAAGGACTAGTAGCAGGAAAACCAATAATTACTGGTGCCTATACCTATCTCATATTATTTTATTTATAATATTTTTATCTTAGTTTCTGTAAGCTTTTCTGTTTTAGAAGAATTCTCAAAATAAAGTAGCATACTATGGAATCTGGATGTAAAAGATGCAGTCAATACATTATTACACATTCATGTAAAACTATCTTTGTTTTATTGAAGGACATATATGACATCATTCTGACAATTACAAATAAATACATTGTATTCTACTTACCTCTTGTATCACATAATTGGGAGGTATTCCCTTAACTGCAGCAACTATTGACAAATTTTCTTCCACAGTTAATACATCAAAACAGACATCTATTTGTTGACATACTCCAGTTATCTTTCTGGCATCCAGCATTTCATCAATTTCAGAAACTCTGTATCCATAGATCGATGCAAATCCTGGTAACAACAAACAAGGAAGATAATGATTGCTATTGAAATACATACATTCATGTATACATCACAAATAATAATGGACTTTTACTGGACTGTGACCATAAAACAGTCATCAAAATTAGAGACTTCAACAGGAAATCAAGAAAATTCTCTCTTCCTGAATTTTCCCCAAGTTTTTTTTGTTGGGGGGGGGGGGGGCTTAAAAATAAAATGAAAAAGTGCAGTATTTTCTGCATGTGTATTTCTATGGTTTGTAGAAAGAAAGCCAATCAAAATATTAAGTCCTACATGGCATAGGGCCTGGTTACTTGAGAGATGTCTTGCATAGCATCTGGCTGGCAGATTTGATCCTGCAAGGTTTGTGTATTCTGGATTCCTTTAAAAGGTATCATCTATCAGGATCCCAGAAGTGTGCCTTTTCTGTAGCAGCCCTCTGCACCAAGGATCCTCCCGAGATTCAAATGGACCCCTCAGCTGTTGTTTACAACAGCCATGAAAACCTGGCGATTGGTGAGGGAGAGTGAGACCCTTGCTTCATTCCATTTGGTTTCACTTGCTTGCCATATTTTAATCTCATATGTTTTATTGATTTTATTATACTTTCTTCTTTGGTTGTTGTGAGCCACCCACAGTTGTTGAAAATAGAGTGGCATTGGAATGATGGAGAATGGAGTGAGGAAGATGATACAGTAGGTCTTGGCATGTACACAGCAATTTCTTTACAAACCCCTTCTCTTTACAAATTGAGATTTATTTGTACTTTCTTTTTATTTGGTGCATGGGTAGAAAAAGAAACATATATTTAGGAAATCGAACAGAACAAAGGGATAAGCAAATGAACAGCAAGATTACACTCCTAATATCTGATTCTAACATCCTACAATTATAAGTCCCAGTTCGTTGAAATGGAACTCAATGTATAATTAAAAGAGAGCAGAAATAACCTATTCAAAACAGAAATGTCAAGCTATGTGCAACTATTCTGCATTGCATGGATAGGATATTGCTATGGAAAAAACTGCAATCCTTTCTCCTAAATTCTGGGGTTGAAGTCTTGATTAATTGGAAAGTACAGCAATAGGTTATATGCATTAATCATTGAAAGGACCAAAAATGGATCAAAACAAAATGTAATTATACATATAAAAAAACCTAAAATAGTGCATTTTCTCTTTACTTGCCATTAAATATGGCAAATCAAAATTATTTTGATCATATTTACCATCAGAAGGTGGGCACAATCCACAAAGAATGTTCATTAATGTTGTTTTGCCTGTTCCACTGTGTCCAAGTAATGCTGTAATCTGGCCCTCATATATATCAAAGGATAAATCTAATAAAATAATGACATGATTATGCAACAGGCAAGAAGTCAATGATGTAATACCATACCACTAATGATTACATTACTATTAAACATTAAGACACTTAATGTAAAACTGAATTCACCTTTGAAAAATAGTTTGTGTTTAACATAATAAACTCACAGATTATTTAATATGCCATTGAACATTAACAGGAACTTGCCAAGCTTCTGGTTATCAGAAGACAAAAAAAAACCCACTTAAACTTCAAGGATTTTTATTGTGATAAATAGTTGAAAAACCCCCAAATTCTTACTTTTTAAAGCCTCCACAGTTTCACCTTTTTTAACAAAAGATTTCTGGACACAGTTGATTCTGAAAGAAAACATGATAATTTTTTTTTAAAGGAAAGCTAAACTCTGATCATATTTCAGCAAGATAAAAAGCAAGCAATATGAAAGAATCATTATGTTAGCATGAATATTACTCAAATCTAAATTAATGCTAACTGAAGACTCACAAAGCACAGTTGAAAGTTTCTCAGTTTCTAAGAGCTCTTAAGTAGGGAACATGTCTAAATTCAATATCCTATTTTTCCCTTGGAGTTTAACTTTCTTGTTCAACTTTGTTGTTCAACTTTGTTGAATTCAGTACAATACTGCTATTAATGGCTAAAGGGTACATTTCTTAATCCTAAAGACATTGCATGTCACTGGCACTTACAGAACATCTGCTCAATGACTTTAACATTGATTCCGAATGGAAAACCAAATGTGTCACAGATATAGGTAAATATATAAATGACTCCACAAAAAAGGTACCAGGCTTTGAACTACTAAGTCAGCAATGGATAATACTGAATAGGAATTGCACCACACACAGTATCAGCCGGGACTCTCTGTATAAATGGGGGAATAGTATCCTCTTCTAAGCATGACTGCGGGGGCATATCACAACAACTGTAGATCACATCATGACTGGCTGAGGGCATATACCGGTCCAGTATCTGATTTTTAATGTAAAGGATGCTGCGCTTCAATGGTTAGATGGCCTAGGTGTATTTGAACATGGAAATTTTTAACGTTTATATTTTGTGTTTTACTAATCTAGGTCAAATATTAATATACATTGCTAATCCCTGTATGATATGCCATACGCTAAATAAATACATATATTCATATTTGAAATACTAAAGAAAAGTTGGCAAAACGGTTCTACATGTGTTTAAAAGGATATGGATCAGTTTGTTTTAGTACTAATTCATGTACTAAAGATTTCCTAAGCACCTAGTAAAACAACTTTCATTATATTGAATACAAACCACCATAATTTTCTCTTTAAAAAGTTTCTAGATGTTGAACATTCAGGCTGATGTAGCTGTTTTATCTGCCTCGGCCTCTAGGCAAAAATAACCATCTGACTATGTTTGATGCAAGCAGTTTTACTTTTATGATCAATTAGATGCTTGCTATATACAACTGACATATCTAATGCAATTTCTACATGTAGACTGCATGGTTGATTTTTACACAGATTTATTCATGCTTACTGACCATTGATTTAAATTCTATTTTATAAACACTGATAGTTTCAATGGTTTTTTTGCTATAATTCATTATCTATCTAACCCAATTTTGTGATTTAGTACAGAAATTATTAGTTAATTTTTTTAAAGTGAACTTTCTTTTTACCAACAAGTTTAAAAAAAGGATTTCGTAGAGTATCTGGATTGATGCTCTAAATAGAATGCTCACAACATTGAAAAACAACATTCCTTCAAGACTCATGTGAAGGGTCTTCTGTGCCTACACACACACACACACACACACACGAGTGATCTTCACTTAATGACAATTCAAGCAGTGACTGTTCAAATTTATAATGGTACTGAATGAGTACTACTTATGACTGGTCCTTGTATTTATGACAGTCATAGCATCCTCATGGTCACGTGATTGCAATCCCATGCTTGCTCAGCATTCTGCTTGCAATTACAATGCTGCAGTGTCCTACGGTCATGTGATCACCATTTGCAATCTTCACTGCCAGCGTCCAATAGGCAAAGTCAATGGGGAAGCTAGCACAAGGTCGCAAATGCTGACTTCATGTCATGGTTAATGACACTATGGGTTCACTTAAGAAAGGCCGTGTGACATTGCATTTTATAACTGCATCACTTTGAGACAGAAATTCCAGTCCTAGTTACCATCATTAAGTGAGGATTACCTGAATACTTTCTTTATTGTTGTTGCCAAAGCAAAATGACTCACATGACATAAAAAGATCCTCAAAACAGCTGGATCAAATATTGACAAGATATGGTGCTTAAATGCTTTAAGCAAAAAGTTTGGAAGTAGTTTTTTTAAAAAAATTGAATTTATACAGACTTAAAAAAATAGAATACTTCATTGGCCAAGTGTGATTGGACACACAAGGAATTTGTCTTGGTTTAAATACTCTCAGTATACATAAAGAAAAGGTACATTCGTTAAGAATCAAGAATCATAACGTACAACACTTAATGATAGTCACAGTGTACAATCAACGATCAAATCATACTAGGAAACAGTCAATATAAATCGTAAGGACAATTCACATATAAAATTCATTACTTAATTTTAGTCCATAGTTGCTGATTATGTAAGATAACTTCAGAGTTATCAAACTTAGGTAAGAAATTTAGATAAGAAACTTCAAATTAGGTAAAGAAATATTAGCACCTGGCTTTAGCAGTTGAAACAAAACCACAAAATAGCCAATCATACCTGATAGCTTCTTTTCCTTGAAACTCTGATGATACGGGTTCAATGATCTCATTGAAATCTAAATTCCCATTAATATTGCTTTCATACAATTCTTTGTAATTTTTTGTTCTCTTTGACCAAAATGAAGGCTTGAGAAAGAAAAAAAAATGTCTACGCAATCCATATTCTCCTGAGCAATAAAAGAAAAATAACATCTACAAATATTAAATGCTGCTAGTAATAATATATAAACATTTAAAAGATATATGTTCACTTATGCTGGTCTATGATTGAATTATTTTCATTAATTATAGGTAGTCTTCAACTTAGAATCATAATTGAGCCCAAAATTTCTGTTGCTAAGTGAGACAACTGTTAAGTTAGTTATGCCCCATCTTATGACCTTTCTCAGCACCATTAAGTGAATCACTGCAATTGTTAAATTAGTCACATGGTTATTAAGTCAATCTGGCTTCCCAATTGTCTTGTCATAAGGTCACAAAAGGTCCCCAGGACACTGCAACCATCATAAATGAGTCAGTTGCCAAGTGTCTGAATTTTGATCACATTACCATAGGGATGCTGCAATGGTTGTATGAACAATGGTCATAAGTCATTTTTTTCAGGACCATTGTAACTTTGGTCACTAAACAAACTGTTGTGAGGACTACCTGTATCAAACTCCAGCAAAAGAACATGGTCTTAAATTTTCAGTATAAATCAAAACTCTATTGCTCAAATAGATCAAGGAATGTATCACAGGGTCCGTATATCTCACTGGGCCAAAATGCAGAATATTTGAGTTTTCTTTATGAGATATTCAACATACCATGTTTCTCATATAATAAGGCCGGGTCTTTTTTTTTTTTTGAGCCCTGAAAAAATGGCTAGGCCGTCTATTCGGGGGGTGACTTAAGTCCCCCCCCCCTACATCTTCAGGCGGGCAGGCGGCAATGGCTTGGATGACCACGGCGTTGGTGGGGCACTTCATATCGGGGTCAACACAGGCAGCACCATATCTGGGTGTGCAACAAAAGTACTTCCTAATGGCAAGCCCCCCCCCACCATTCCCCCCCATTTCGCATGTTTTAATATAGGCCTTAATTTGGGGGGGAGGGGCTTAATTTCATTTCATGCCTATAAAACATGCTGGGACTTCCTATTGGGGGAGGCCGTATTGTTGGAGAAACAGGGTATTAATTAAGAAATGGCTTAACATCCAGAATGAACCTATCTGTGGTGAACTATTTTTTAATGTAACAAGAGTATACATGAAATAAATTATGCACAATAATATTCAACAACTGGCAGAATTTATTCCCATGCATTCCAAGTATTTGTACTTTTTGATGCTTGTGATACATTGGAAGGATGCTAATGCAACGCACAAGTAAAAGTTTCACTTATTATTTTAACTCCACGGTTAAGTTCTTTCCCCACCTCAACATATAGGCAAATGTTCTCTGTTAGAAATGGTTTTAGACTGGACTAAAGTTTTAGACTAAAACTAGAAGTGGTTTTAGACTGGAATATAATTACATTCACTCTAGCCCAGTTTAGAGTAAATAGAATGGCAAATTTTGATTTGCTGACAATCTAAAACCAAGAAGAGACATCTGAATGTAAATTGCTATTTTTTTTTATTAAATCAAACAACTTCCAACTTTTCAAGAGAAAGAGTGTAAAGAAACAGTTCAAATATTTAATAAACTGCATGTCAGATAGTATATTATTGTCCTTAAGAGTTATTCATACATTTTTGCTGTGCTTTTCTGAGATACAAGGGTTATATAAATTATAACGGCTAAAGCGATTTGTTCAGGCCTATTACATGTCATTTTTGTAAAAACTGAATGTTATATTGTAATACATATGAAATAGAACCATAAATAGTCATACATTTCAACAAATGTACTAGCGCAATTGTACTATAGTTTTGTATCAAGTACTCGGACTGCAAAAAAAATCCCACAGAGAAATGCACTGATCCTTCAGAATACAGGTATTGCTACAAATATATATAAAATACACATTGCTGATAAATGTAACTTGAGTTTTGAATTTGTTGCAGATCAAATAAATTATTATAGTTATTTGAAATCATTTTTTCTGAGTCAGAAATTCAATCATACCTGGAATAACCTGATCCAAGTAAACTGCTAATAGTATATAAAGCACACTGTCAAGAGCTAGGAGCAATATAGCAATAATTAATGGATAAGGTCCATAAGTTAAATTTGAAAAATGAACTCCTTCTTCATAATCTTCTAAGTGCATAACCTGCAAACAAAGAATTTGAATATTATTTGGAATACCATCATAGCATTAAAATATTAAGGAACTAATTAACACTTATGGCACTCCATTGCAGATTGGCACATATGAATTATTCCATTTTAGCAATGAATTTGAAACCACTTTATTCTTAAGGATTCATCATTGATCTGGTTTAGCTTGGATATTTTGGATACAGCTTGTTTATTGTTTATTTTTATAATTAGCTTTATTCATACTAAGTTTCATATTTCTGAAGTTAATTCTTATCTTCAAACTCAGGCAATTAATACTTATATTAAAAATAAGCACACATTTTACTGCACATGTAAGCATTAACATGTTTTCAAATGGTCATAGTCTTTTGTCCTGTTGTTCCATATTTGCTTGTGCAAATTTCAAATCCTGGCTATATTGCAACCTTGCTTTTTGATCTCAAATATAATATAAACGAGTGACTGTCATGAAAAAAAATTAAGCAATATTAAGCAATACAATAACCAGAATATAGCATGCAAACATTTACTATAGAAATTGCTTCCAGAGAAGAACAGCAGCTGTTGTTCCTGCTGTAACATAATGAACTTTTTTATGACCTAAATTTACATCAAAAAATAAACTGTTTTACAAAAGTGTTGTTGATAAAGCTTCTTTCTAAACAAAATTGCAACTAATAATCATCTCCTACATATCATTAGCCTCAGCTTATGTCCACTGCTTCAGCCACCACTCAGACTTACAAAACTAGTGCTGAAAAATGGACTTATGATCAGTCCTTGATGTTCTGAATGCAGTGATGTGGTTGTGATCTGGGTGCTGATTACATGATTACAACGCAGCAAGCTGCATTACATGATCATCATTTGTGACCTTCCTTGCTGTCTTCTCACAAGCAAAGTAAATGGGGAAGGCGACAGGGAAGATCACAAGACACCCCAGTAAATCACTTGCACCACCTTTTCTCACAAGGAGCCCACTATGGACTATGAGATCCAGGAAGTTTCCTATTCTGTAGCACCCAACACCAACCAAACTCTGTAGCACATGCCTGCCTGCAACACCCCCTTCCTGTGGCCCCATGTGCAATTTGCCCTACACCTCCACCAGCCCTCCTGTGCCCCCACTGACCTGCTTGTGCTTCTGCAGCATCACCCACACTTTTTACCTCAGAGTCTTGCCTCTTCCTATTTAATGACCTAGACCCACACATTTGGGAGTTATAGCAATAATAATAGCACTTAAGATTTATGTACTGTTCCATTATACTGTACTATACTAGCATCAGCATATTGCCCCCAACAATCTGGACCCTCGTTTAATCGATGGAAGGATGGAAGGATGAGTCAACCCCGAGCCCCATCGGGATCAAACTCCAGACTGTAGGCAGAGTTAGCTGCAATACTGCATTTAAACCACTGTGCCACCAGGGTTCCTGGGTTTTGATAGCAACTTAGACTCCCATCACTAAGAAGTGTGGTTATGTGACCTGTGCTTTATCACTGCATTGTTTAACAACTGAAACCCTGTTCCCAATTGCTGTCATAACCTGAGAAACAGCTGTACAATGCTCACTAAAGAATCTGATATCCATCAGTTTCTATTCTAAGATTATTAGTTTGTTACAGAAATCGATCCTTAATATTTTAAATAATATTTTTAACTGATGACGGAAATAGCAACAAGCAAGTAACATGTTTACTGCAAGTATAGAATAAGGCAAATACTGTCTCTATATTTGTTTTCTCTCACTAGTGTCTATAGCTGGGATTCGAACCGTAGAAAGTTGTACAGCAATACGCAAATAATGTATTTTACTAACCTGTGCAACACCAATTAAAAATGTGCATTGACACAGAGGGCTTACCAGCCACACAAAGGATTTTGGAATATCCTCTACCAGGAAAATTGTTAGACCCACAATACCAAAAACCAGGGTTGACAAAAACTCAACTGTACCAACATGTTTTGATTTTTTGAAAAGAGGAGTCAACATGAATGCAAAGAAAACCTAAACAGAAATGAAACAATTATTTCAATGCATTAGAAACTTTACAGTAAAATGCTGAAATGATGGTCTCTATGTTGATATTGCAGCAATTAGAATAATCTAAATTAATGTACCGATGGCTCTTGCTAAAATGGCTTTCATTGGATTGGTTTTATTTTATTTTTAAATTTTTAAATTATGTGTTTTGGGGTGGCCAGAGGATTTAAAAATCAGAGATGAGCAAGGCATTTCTAAATTTTGAGAATAATCTGGCCTTCATAGACTGCAATATTCAATTTTACTTTCAGCATAAGTAAAAATATAAAATGTAATATGTAAAAGTAAAGGCAAGATATGTTTTCATTGTGAGTTGAAAAAATAATATTGTATCCAAGGTCAAATTATCTTTTCAAACAGAACCCTTTCCAGTTCAGGAATGTCATGACATTCTGTATGATTTGTTTAGTTTTGTTAATTGATGTGTAAATAATGAAAAATGAGGATAGCAATGTGCTGATTATTTAATTTGCACAACTGCTCCATTATAAAAATGGACAATGAATTCAATATATAGAACCAGATCAGAAACCAATAAAAAGCTAGAGCACGTACTTATTTTCATATAACAATGTCAGGTTATTAACATAACTTCAATATTAGAGCCTTTTGGACTACATAAATATTTGTTAATAATAGTGATGTCTATAATCATCATAAAACATTACATGTTTGAAGACAGAAAACACTTAGGTAAATCAGAAAGTATACTCAAAACAGAATAAGAAGCAACATCTGTTAAACTATCTAAGCAAATAAAATTGCATTAGAACTCTGCCAGCTATCATTCAGTGTAAACAAAACCACAGCAGTAGCAAATTGCTTATGTAGGTCAAATAAGACTCTAAAACATTACTGATAACCACAATATAGTAACAATGACCACACATAAACACACACACACACACACACACACACACACACACAAAAACACTTACGGAGGATATTCCATACAGGAAAAAAAGAAGAAATATCACAAAGCTGCTACTTTTGGGGAAAAGCGAAGAAAATGTTGCAATGACCGACATAAGAAGAGACATGACAAATATCAGACTGGTGTACAGTAGGACCCAAGAAAGCCTAAAAAAGAAAATACACAATGAAGATTCATGAATTCAAAGCTATAAATATTACTACACAAGGATAACTTCTGTTTCAAAGATCTTTTCAGGCAGCAGGCACCATCATGCTATTTTGCACAATGTTGCAGATATCAAAAAAATAAATTTTAAAAATGTAAAAGGCAGAAATCTTATGGTGTTTAATGTAGCAACAGATATTTTACAATATTTATCTGGGAAGACAGTCACCTATTTTTTAAAAAAATTGAGGATTCAAGAAACATAATTCAGTGGTATCACAGATAACAAACTGCCCATTATTGCCAATCCATGTTCTAGCTCTTTCAAAAAGCAACCATGCAATTAAAAACTGAATCTTTTTTGTGATATCTCTCTCTCTTTCTCTCTCCCTCTCTCTCTTCCTCTCCCTCTCTCTCCCTCCCTCTACCTCCACCAGAGGTGGTATTCAGCAGATTCTGACCAGTTCTGGAGAATTTGTAGCGGAAATTTTGAGTAATTTGGAGAACCGGCAAATACCACTTTTGACTGGCCCTGCCCCCATCTATTCTCTGCCTCCCGAGTCCCAGCTGATTGGCTGGGTCTTCTTTTGTTGCCCTGCACAGGAGAACGGAGCTGGAAAGCAGGTTAGTGGGGTGAGGAGGGAATGAGATTTTGCAGTATCCTTCCCCTGCCACATCCACCAAGCCACACCCACCAAGCACCCACCACCCACCAAGCTACACCCACAGAACCAGTAATACATTTTTTTGAATCCCATCTATCTAATTTATATAGCTGCCCACTTCACCATAAAATAAAATGGGGTTAGTTCCCTTTAAACAAAACGTTTTTAATCAAAGACCTCTTGCTCTTGGCTTGGCACATCCACAGACAGTATTACATGTCAACCAAACCATTACAATTTATTCAATAAACTGTGTTCATAAGAAATTGGTTTAGTGCAAGATATGAATGTTCTCAATGGGTCTAGATAGCCCACTAATAGGAACACCTAATATATGAAGAATTACAGAATTCTGCAATACTGTCAATACAAAAGACAAAAGCTTTACAAATATCTAGGCAACTAACAGGTAAGCATCTAGTAGGACTTTAAAGTCTTTTTGATGCGATTCCCAAAAGGTGCTCTAGAGCAGGGGTCGCCAACCTTTTGGACCTCAGGGATCACCAAACTCATAATTTTAGATCCCAGGGACCACTAACTGTTTCTGTGGGTGTGGCCTAATTTGTAGGTGTGGCTTGATGGTCATGTGACTGGCTGGGCATGGCTTGTATGTAAATATTATAAATATTTATAAAAATATTGATTTTTTAATAAAAAAGAGCAACTTTTACCCAAAATCAGGCAAAGCAGGCAGGCAGATTGATTTGCTCACAGAATCACAGATTCATTCAGAAATCTATCTATCTGCCATTGGCTAGCTCAATCTGTCACATAAAATTTGCTTGCAAGCAAACTCACAAAATTAACTCACAACACACCATGCATGTAAATATTGAATTTTTTATTTTTAAAAAAGAGCAACTTTTACCCAAAATCAGGCAAAGCAGGTAGATTGAGTTGCTCACAGAATCATTGAGTGATCTATCTATCTGCCATCGGCTAGCTCAGTCTCTCAAATTTGCTTGCCGTGAGTCTGCACTGAATTTGCTTGCAAGCAAAACTTCAGTCCTAAGGGAGGTTCGGCTGTGCTGAGCCGAAGATTTAAGAACTAGAAAGCAAGAAATCCAACCATTTCCTGTTTCCTAGCTAATCTAAATCTCCCGGCACAGCAGAACAGATGATGGTCGGAAAAAGGAAAAATAGCAATTTAGCAGGCAAGTTTACCGGGTAAGGAGTGAGTGGGTGGGGAGGGTTCCCGCGGGCCATGTGGGTGGCGCAGCCTTGTATTTCTGCGCAGCCTGGATTAATTGCTTTGTGAGGGTGCTCTGGGGGTGAGATTTCTCTGCGGCCCACCAAAATTTTCTCACGGCCCACTGGTTGGCAACCGCTGCTCTAAAGCACAGGAACAAGAATAAATCACTTGTTTGCAAACTATCTTGTTGCTTTAAAGAGTTATAGGCAGTCACTACATTCATACCTGTGCACATTCATACCTGTGCACTAATATCTAAAGTCATCATTGACCCCAACAAAGGAATCAGCAATAATATTAGAATTAACTTTAAATCATATGGCAGTTGTTTCATGACTATCAGGATTTTTCAAGAAAATAGAGGAATATCTTAAAGCCTGTCCTTTACACAAAAGTGTCATTGCTCTGCAAAAATCCTTCTATAGCAGTGGTGTCAAACTTGCGGCCTGCGGGCCAGATGCATCACGCGCTGGCCATGCCAATCCCAGGTTCAGCGAAGTGGAAAAAAGTCACGATACATCACATGACAATGTGACACCACGAGTTTGACACCCATGTTCTATAGTACCTTAAAATAAAGTTCACTGAATTTTCCAAAATTAAGAAATTTTTTATCTTGCTTCATCAATTCAAGATGCTTCCAAACTCACAAGTATACAAGTGTATTTTCCTGTGTACCTCTAATATATATGTATATTCGCACCTAATTTTGCCTTAAAATATGCAGAAATCATATTTCAAACATTTTTCCCAGCTTTAATTTTGAAATAAAAAGAACTAATTTTACCATAAATGCTAAAATTAATTCCTTAAGACCATGAGAAATTAAGGAATTAATTCCTTTGTTTACGGAATTTGTTTATGGAATTCCTTTAAGAAATTTAAACAAAAGACTGTTTAAAACTAGTTTTTGTGACAGCTAGTCCAAATCCTTCAAGAATGGCTACCACAATTATTCTCTGAACATACTATGTGATGAGAGAAAGAGAGGGAGGGAGGGAGAGGGAAGGAACAAAAGTGTGGAATTAAGACTTCTAGGAATGATATTTAGAGGAAAAGATGGCTGTCAATGGACATATTTTATTTTTTAAATTAGACTGCCCCAAATTTTCCAGAAGAAGAAAACCAGACAACTCCATCATATTAGTTACATTTTTTTAAAAAAAGGAAGGGCAGGGAAAGCCTCTGCAGTTCCACCAATCAAGTGCTTCATGCATCCCCTTTACATCTGCTCTCAATTTAAAGCTTTATCATGCATAGGCACCCAAAATTTAAACTGAGAATCTGCACACAAGCATTAATCAGTTTTTCAACATCCAGAATGACAGCATCAATCCAGAAAAGCAAATCAACTTATCTTTAAAGAGCAATCTCTAAATAAACTTTGTACATGTTTACAAAGTAACTTCATTAACATTAATATGTGTGTGTGTGTATGTGTATATGTATGTATGTGTATATGTGTGTGTGTATACACACACACACACACACACACACACAGTGATGAAAGACCAGTGATGATATAATTGTGAGCAAAGACAGCAAACATTTCAAGTGTCATTTTTATTTTCAAAATTGCATCTGATTCTTCAGTGTTCAAAATATCACAATGTAGTCATATCTATCCATTCTAAGAAATAGTCTAGGAAAACTTGAGAACAGCCTGAAATCTTTTCTACAAAGAGACTTTTTTATCTTGGGTTACAATCAAGATGTTGTATCTTTTCTCTCAAACTGTATAACTGAACAAGAGCTGCTGCAGTTGTTTTAACAACGAAGAGCTAAAGAACTTACTCACCAAAAGGCAGTGTCATGAAGGCCCATTATCATTAAAAATTCTTTTAATTTCTTCTCTTTTTCTGCCACAATATGGATTGCCAAGTAATAACCAAAAGGCGAAAAGGCAACCACTAAGTAAATCAGAATGATTGCACGAGGAAAATTATCTATTTCCAAAATAGCAGATTCTCCCATCATGACAGCTTTTGTTTGTTCTAGTTCTTCCAAAATTGAGTGATTAGTCTTCAGCTGAAAAAAGAAAATGACTGTTAAAATCAGGTTTTGGAATAGCTTCTGCTAATAAAGAAACATTATATCTAAAGCTGTAAAACAATCTACGATAGATCTAATTTATCTATTTTATATCTCCATGCAAAGTATTTTGACGAAAGAGGTCTGGTTTATTTTATATAGTTATTTCTGCTTTTTTTCTATTGGCTGCTCAAATTTTAGAATGAAAAAAAACTGGAATAAATAAAATAGGAAGGCATTAAGATAAATATGTTCTGTATCAATGGATAGAAAACTTGATTAAAGCTTACTAGATTAGCCAAAGGAAAATCCTATAAATCAGATTTCTAATACATTTATATTAGCCCAGTTGCAGCTGAGTGATTTTTAGGCTGATCAGCTTGAATTCTCTTTGTGGAGACCGAATTTCAATTACTAGTTATCAGGTAAAAAAGCTATTAAGCTATTGGCACAGTTTGAAGCAAAAAATACAGTTTAACTTCAGAAATTGTTGTAGTTGATAGGTAGTTCTTGTTAGATTCAGAAGCTTTTAATAATCAGTTTTTCCCCCTTTTTAAGTCGTTTTTTAAATTGGATAAGTGGTAATTAATATATTCATCATTGATGTTTTGAAAGCTCCTTTGCCACTTTATTTAAGAATTGGAAAATTTAAGTATTGGAACTGATCCAATCATTGCAAAATGGTTCAGTTCCTGGTCTATATGGTTTCCAAGTGGAATAAACTGTTGTACTGACAAGACTTTGGAAATATTATGAATAGCAAAAACAAAACAAAAGTATTATAAATCAAGTCAACCCAAAGTTTATTGGAGGCACACATAATTGGGCATAAATTATTAACAGCCATGGTGGTGCAGTGGTTAGAATGCAGTATTGCAAGCTAGTTCTGCCATCTTGTCAGCAGTTCACTTCTCATCAGCTCAAGGTCAACTCAGCCTTCCATCCTTCTGAAACAGGTAAAATGAGGACCCAGATTGTTGGGGGCAAAATGCAGACTCTGTAAACAGCTTAGAGAGGGCTGTAAAGCAGCTATAAGTCTAAGTGCTTTTGCTCTTGCTATTTTATTCTGAACATATGCAAATGTAATTTTGGGAAATGCCGAAGTAAAGAAAATCAGAAGATAAACAGCAACAAGGCAGATGGATTCAATTAAAAGTCCTGGTCAGTGCACAGTTGGAGGATATCTGAAGAGACAGATAATCCTATTATCCCCAACAATCAATGAGGACTTAAGCAGTCAATACAAGGAAACACAATATATATATGTATGGTATTCAGCTTTGTTCGGGTATTTTCCCACGTCATTATAGTTGTGCTTTTAAAGTTGTAGCAATGTTTCGGCAGAATCTCATCTGCCATCATCAGGCTTCTGTATTGTGTTCGTCTGTGAGTCAGACTTTTACAGTTGTTTCAGTTTTAAATTTGGGGCTAGCCTACTGCTGTGCCAGAATGTTTTTTTCTTCATCCTGATTGGTTGGGAGTCTTGGTCTGTGTTTATTGGTCTTGGAGTTTGCTTTGTTCTGCTTGATTGGTGTTTCTAATATCTTCTGTCTGTTTTGTGGCTTTCTTTGTGTCTTGATTGGCTGGCAACACTGTGTTCCTGTATTGGAGGCTTTTAGTGCAGCTTGGCTCCGAGTAAATGGACGGCTATCATTTGTTAGGAAGCTAGGTTTCATCTGGGTGCCTGGTTGTGGGGTGTTTGAGCTGGAGGTATCAGGGGGGATCTGTTTGTGCCCAGGTGTTTGCCTGGCTAGTGGTGTGGAGATTTTTTTGTTTGTGAGTGCAGGCTTCCAAATAATTGATAGTCTGGTGGAATCATCTCTTCTATTCATGCTTTCAGGTCTTTTTTCAATCTCTATGGCTTCTCTGATAATTCTGTGGCTGGGGTTTTCTATAGTGGCTAGGGTTTTGGTGCCACTGAAGTTGATGCTATGACCTGTGGCTTTCATGTGTTGGACTAGTGAGGAAGTGCGTTCCAGCTTTTTTACTGCATTTTTGTGTTCATCAAGGCAGGTACTTATTCTTCTATTGGTCTGTCCAATGTATGTGGCCGGGCATGATGCACAGGGGACTTCATATATGCCTTGGTTTTCCAGGTCAATTTTATCTTTGGGGTTTCTAAGGATGGCTGCTATTTTTGTCTGTTTGAAGGCAGTCTTGATGTGATGCCTGTGTATGGAAGAATTCGAATCCAGAGCCCTGGCTAATGCCACCCACAAACCCAAACAAAGCCGAAGACACAAGCCTGAAGATGATGAATGAGACTTCATTGAAACGTCTCCTAGATACTTCCAATTTTATGCGGGAGAAAACCCGAATAACCAAAGATCCATACATCCATACATCCATACACATACATACATACATACATACATACATACATACATATATATATATATGGTATTCAGCTTTGTTCGGGTATTTTTCCACGTCATTATAGTTGTGCTTTAAAAGTTGTAGTTAAAGACGTGGGAAAATACCTGAACAAAGCTGAATACCATACATATAAATACCTGCGAAAACTTAAGAAAACAAATATACACACACACACATATTCTGGTGAAAATATAAATCCAAAATATACTTTGTTTACATGCATGTGGCATCTCAAGCAAAAGAATTTCATATTCAGCTATTAATTATGAACATTAAATCAAAATTCAGTCAAACATTTTGGTGACTATTACAGGGACTCATTAGTTTATGCACTGTCTAGATCTGAAGAGAAAACCATAATATGGAGACTTGATAGACAAATTTGACTAGGAAATATTTCTTCAAATATAGTATTATGGACCAGTCAAGAAATGCTCTGTGTTCCAAATTATCTATTGTATTTCTTTCAAATTCAGATCACTGCATAGCTTAACTGCTCACTTGGATAAAGCATTTTTGTATATAAGAAAAAATAAATACTGTATTGTATTTTGACTAATACAAAGGAATATTGAGTTGTATGCTAATCATTTGTATTTACCTGAATAATGGCTGCATCAATACAGATCTGGAGAGCTGTAAATCCATACCGCCAGTAGGTTTCAGCTTCACATATCTTGGAAGGATTTGGACAACTGGCTGTAAAAAAAAGTTTTTTTTTTGCTATCTAACTATTCCACTGACTTCAAATTAAATATCCAGCAGGTATAATCTCCATTTACAGTATATTGGAATGATTGCATGATTTTAAGGAAACAAAATAGCTGGAATGTTTTTAAAATATATATGAAATCTATGGATCTTTGAATGTATCTAGAAGTAATTTTGTCAATTGAGTAATAAATTATAAACAGAATTTTACAAAAGATCACTCCTATGTCTGAGGAAAATCAAATATTTATATATACATTTAAATACCTCTTGATTCCACATGAATTGCAGAAACAGGAACTTTTGTAGGAGGAAATCTGAGTTGATAGGACATAGAATCCTTAAAAATTACACCCACAAAGTTTTGGGGACTACGAAATGTAGCCTCTTGCATTTCTTGCTCAGTTAGAAATTCTTCAGTAATGATTCCTATAAAAGACAAGTATTTTTTCTAATTATTTTCATCTCCGAATATTTGTACTACCTTGTTTCTCTGACAATACGCCCCCACCCCCACATAGGAAGGCCCAGGATGTTTTCTGGGCATAAGGTGAAATTAAGCCCCTCCCCCAAAAGTTAGGCCAATTTAAACCATGCGTTCCCCACCATTTCTCATATCACTTGAACTATATGAGGTGAAGAGAAATGGGGGGGGGGGGTAAGGGCAGGAGGGGAAACTTGCCTTTAGAAGCCCCCCGCAGGTAGCCTCGGCTAGAGCACCCCATGGGCAGACTCGCCTCTATCGGCCGATAGAATCACCCCGCAGGCAGAATCACCTTGCCATGAGGCCACTTCTATTGGCCGATAGAAGCTCCCCGAGGGCAGAGTCACCAGCCGCTTCTATTGGCAATAGAAGCGGCCTCGTGGAGCGCCCCGCGGGCAGCCATGTCTCACCATGAAGCCGCTTCTATTGGCTAATAGAAGTGCCCCAAGGGCAAAGTCACCAGCCACTTCTATCGGCCAATAGAAACGGCCTCATGGCGAGGTGAGTGCGCGTGGGGCGCTCTAGGTGGGGCTGCGCGTGGGGGGAGGAAATTAAGTCACCCCCGAAAAGATGGCCTAGCCGTTTTTTCGGGGCTCAAAAAATAAATAAAGCCTGGCCTTATTTTGTAGAAACACGGTAATGCAAGTGTCATCCAATCTGTAACTGTCTCATTTGTTAACCGTATAATTTGTTTTTGTTTACATATAACATTGAGCCTAAAATATATCTGAAACTATTGATGTCAACTTACATTTTTAAATCTCTATTAAAAGTGTAGGATCTTTTAGATGAAGAGAGTAATGTATATTTGCAAAATACAGAAGTTATTTCGAGAGGATCAGTTTAAGTCTATAAAATAGAATTTGGTGTAGGTAGTCCTTGACTTACAACAGTTTAGTGACTGTTTGAAGTTACAATAGCACTGGAAAAAATGACTTATGACAGTTTTTCACACTTATGACTTTTGCAGCATCCCCATGGTCACGTGATCAAAATTCAAACACTTGGCAACTGACTCATATTTATAACAGTTGCAGTGTCCTGAGGTCATGTGATCACCTTTTGCAACTTGACAAGCAAAGTCAATGGAGAAGCCAGTTTTACTTTAACAACCATGTTACTAAACTTAACAATTGCAGTCATTCACTGAACAACTGTGGCAAGAAAAGTTGTAAAATGGGGCAAAATTCACTTAACAATTGTCTTGCTTAGCAACAGAAATACGTCAAGGACTACCTGTATTAAAAAGCATGGGTTTTCAACACATACTGCATTATGGCAAGATTCTTTCATTCATGAGAAACAAAGGCATAAGAACATTCTCCTTGCCAGTGCCAAGTAGAATGAGGTTTAGCTCCATTGGATACATATCCAGTGGTTCTGATCCTCGCTGTTAGGGGGCATTAATCTATTTGTTTTGTTCACATGGAACTTGCTGAACTTTAAGAGAAATTTGGATCTGCAGCCTTTCCTTTCTATTATCAGATACGTTAGAATATGGCTTTTATTATTTATTTTATGTATTTATCACATTTGTATCCCACTCCAATCACAAGAACTTCAATGGCTCACAAAGAGTACGGGATGGTTGATTCATTTGGGATACCAGTAAGAGGCATATGGCTAGAATAAGCTTTAGAAGGAAAATCAAAATAAACAAATGGGTGTTAATATAAAAGAATATTTATAAATATTTAATATGAAATAACAACATGCATGCTATTATATGGAAATAACATGTTTAATCTATTTTCCTAAGTGTATTTTCCTAGTAAATACCAGAGAAAAATATAAACATTTGGAAGAACAGAAGAGTTTGTTTATAATACCTTCTGTAAAATATTCTGCAGACATTTTGTGCATGATTTTTCTCGTCACATTGTTCACAGGTGTGTAGCCAACAACAAACTCAGAGATAATAGAGTGATCCACAGAATAAAGATCAGAATCAGGTACCTCATCATATTTCTTGTTTGGATACATCATGCTCAATAATATTAGCCAGAATAAAAAGAAAAGTGGAAGCAGTATTTCCTGCACAAATAAAATCAACATGTTAAATGGGTAACACTCAGAAACAGCCACTTACAGCTGTGTATAATACTCACTGAAACAGAGACTCTTCTTAAAAATCTATTTAACATTATTTCAGTATTTAAACATTACATATATGGATATTTGTATACTATTCACTAATCCTGCCTACTATTCTCCATGTGATTAGAGAGCTTTCTCTTAACTATAAATCTAGACTTTTTCAAAATCTAGAGCTGAAGAAGGGACAGGGTTAATTTCCATTCTCTTGCAGGATGGGATTTGATATAACTGGCACTTACTGGACATGGGCTCAAAGATAAAATCTACACTCTGGCAACAACAAATTTTGATTGGCCAGTACTGCAGGCAAAGTTTGCTAGATTAATATACTTATAAAATTAAAATAGAACATGAGGTCATCTGCAGTCTTAGCATTCATGTTTTCCCTGGCAAATATGAACTACATTTGATAGAACAGATCATTAACAAATATACAAGAATAATCACATGTGAAAATTTCACACAGATAGGTATTTCAGTGTGTTCAAAAGACTAAGACTAATATGAACACAATGTTTCAGCATGCATTATTCAATCACAACTACATACTTGATACCAGGAAATGAATAATTGTCCCACTGTCTAAGTGCAATATTGCTGAAAGAGAAGCTTAATTTTCATTTTTAAATCATCCTAACTCAAGACTGGAGTTACAATCTATATCTTGTGCCCAACAAAAATGGATATGCTTAATCTAATAAAGCAAAATGATGTTATTTACACTCTAGTTAGTCTACAGTATGTATCAGCATCTTAATCAGTTTTTATTTTTTATTCTAACAGAAATAAAAAGACAGAAAGAAAGGCCTTAGTTCACATGATTAATCCAGTAGAATCCGATAACATACAATATATATTGAGATTTTTATTGTCATATAGTGGTATATAAAAATATTTTTGAATATTTGAATTCTACCCTCTTCTTTTTGTGAGGTTCATGTAAGTATAATATTGAAGCCTGGAAAAGATCCTGTAGAAAAGTATAAGCCAATCCATGCTTTCTTTAAATATTGTTTACAGTTCTGGAATTCAGAAACATAATATATTACCTACAATAATTCATCCTGTACAATTTGGCTTGATAAAAGGCTATGCCTTTTAAGAGTAAGCTCCAGATAATACTAGACTGCTAATATTTTAAAAGTAAAATCAGAAAAACTAGATTGTCAAGTAATTGCTTCACTGGATGTAGAAAAAGCCTTTGATGTGGTATAAATTAAACTTTTAATATGTTTTTCTGAGATATAGATTCCCCCCATTATAATTTCTTGAGTTAAAATATAGTATCTTAATCCATCTATTTGTGATTGCAAATGGAATTATTTGTTCTCTAAATTAAAATATCTCAGGAAAGGTTTTATTTCCTCTCATTATTTATTAAATTTTTATGCTGCCCATCTCGCCTAGAGGCAACTCTGTGAAACTTAAAAGACATATTTTAATTGATATATGAACCACTGGCTTATTTTATTACACAGTTAAAGTATATAAAATGTTTGGAGTTGAATATTCTTACATGTTTAGGATATTTTGAGTCTTACTGATAGTTCAATGTTCTTTATTTAAATTTCTCAAAATTACTCAAAGGTTTGGTAAATTATCAGGTTAATCCATTCAGTGGAATAAGACATACAGTATCTAGTTTCAATTGTATCTGAGTATCTCAGGAAATTTGTAAAAACAGAGACCTGTTCATGTTAATTCTCTTAAATACTGTACTTTTGAATCATTGTTCCTACAGAATATCATTTTTAATTTAAAGGTGTTCAGAATGGCCAGAATGCTAGCAAAGGTGATGGTTCTGAAATCTACAACGGCTTTTTCAGCAGCTGCAGAAAAAGGCAAAAGTAAATTGACCTGTGTATGGTGATGCAGGAAGAGGGGGGAGCTCCTAGCCATGGAGGGGTAGGGAAAAAGCCCTATGTTCCTTCAGCTTTTCATGTACCAGTGAGCCTGTAGCCATCTGAGATCTCTTGGTCCATGGGACATTTCCACAAGCCAATGGCACAGGGCCTCCCAGTGCTTCTCCCACCCCAAGGCATCCCCACATGATCACTTAATGAGCTGCACGATCACTTAATGTCCACAACTGGGAGAGTTGGGATTAAAGTATTTGAGCAAAGCGTTCACATGGGCATCTCACTTAACAAGTGCTTCACTCAATGCCCAAGATTCCTGTCCCAACTATTGTTGTCAAGTTGAAGATTACAAAGTGAAGTTGAAGAAGACTGTACAAATATTAAAAAATTGCAGATCAACTGACCTGAACGCTACTCTTCTTGGTTCTCCATTTAACTAAGCAATTCTTATAAAAAAGAGCTCTTGTTTGTCGCCACACTCCTTTTTGTCTTGAAGCATCTGTAGACATTTTTGCATCTGAAAAGCAAAACAATTACATGTCTCTTTTAAATGTGTGCCCCCCACTTGTCAATTAATTTGTTTTAACCATAGTATCATTCAATATACTTAATATTACTAATCACTATATTAAATGGGTACATTTCTGTGAAATAAGATCTTTATGTGTTTCACTATCCAAAAACTAATCCTATATAAACAACTATTAATTCTCTTTAAGTGATATCAAGTAGGTACAGGATTATAATCCAAATGCTTCTCAGATAAATTTTAGGAAGTCTTACCTGCAAATGTATTGCTGCTCTAAATACAGAACAAGCAATCCTCAATTTATGATCATTCATTTCAAAGTTACAACAGTGCTGAAAAAAGTGACTTATGACTGATCATTTGCACCTATTGCAGTGCCCTCAGTCACATGATCAAAATTCAGGTGCTTGGCAACTGGCATTTATTTGCAACAGTTGCAACATCGTGGAGTCACATGATCAACATCTGCAACCTAGTCGGGAGCTTCTGAATAGCAAAGCTATATTTGCTTAATGACTGGTTATTCACCTTACAGCTGTGGCAAAAAGGAATGTAGAATCAGGCATGACTTACTTAACAACTGGATCACTTAGTGGTGGAATTTCCAGTCCCACTTGTGATTGTAAGTAGAAGACTACTTATTTTTTTCTTAATTGCAAATGAAGTATTAGTTTAACATATTCGGATAAAGTCTAGGATGTATACAATTACTATTTGTTATCAGTTTCTATTATTAAAATTGAATTTGTCCAAATCTTACTATGGTTAATATGCCCAATTAACTCTTTTAAAAAACCAAAATTACATGACTCACTGTTGTACAAAATAATTTCCCAAAGTTAATCATGGCAAAATTTTTGCTTTTAAACTATTATTTGTATGCATCTGCATTTTACTGACAATTTCATATTTGTTATTTGCAATAGCAATAGCAACAATGCTAGATCAAATAAAATCTGGTACTCCCCCCTCCCCCTTTTTTTGTCATTGAGCATGGGTGTGTGAACCAGCCAGTTTCAAAGATAGCATTGCAACATTAAGCATAAAAGGGAATATTCAAATGCAAAATGTTGAAATCAGAATACTCTCATATAATTTATATATTTTATAACTATCATAATACTCTCAATAAAAATAGTGTTTATAAATTAAATAAATTTTATTGCATTTTCTGCAACTGATGCTACTCAAATTATATTCATATTTCCAAGTCTTTGATATGAGTGCCCTTTTTGAAATAGAGTGGAAAAGTTAGAATTTACAGCAGGGTTCTTCAAACTTGACAGCTTTAAGACTTGTGGACTTCAACTCCCAGAATTCTTCCTCTAATCATGTTAGCTCAGGAATTCTAGGAATTGAAGTCCACAAGTCTTAAACTTGCCAAGTTTGAAGACCCTTGATTTACAGCCTAAATGAACATTCAGTGTCAAAAACTTATCATTGATCATCTTGTGGAATAACCTACAGGAAAACAGGGGGGGGGGTGGAATGTGTCCCCACTGATATTCCTGGATCTGTGTGTCTTCTAATATGACTTACCATGGTGTCATTTTGGAATACAGAAACCAACTGATTTGTAATAGTTCTTATCTCTTTAATTACTATCAGGAGGTGATACTGGCCATCATCAATCAAATTCTGATCACCCATGTTATGTAACATCTATATGAACATGCTGGCAACTATCCTTTGCAGTGCTGCACAGGAGCTATTTGTCAGCTTTATATTGATGATATTCAGCTTCATTATGTACAACCCTAATTAGTATGTGAATCTAAGTTCAAATACTCGCAGCCTATATATAGATTCAGACATTCATGTAAATCTACATCTATTCTCAAATGTTAAGATTACTGAAGAGCACATAATCTTGCAAAAGCATATTATCTAATCTAGTGGGCCTTCTTTCTCTGTTAAAATCTACTACCATATAATTCATTTTGACAAGGTTAAAGGGTTTTCTACTGAAAATACTGAGTGATAATGGCTCATTTCTTACTAGCGTGGAAAATAATAAATTTAATGTTTTGGAAGGGTATCTCTTTTTGAGATAGAAATGATTACAGCTTCTTAAAACTGTACTATACTGAAATATAGTAGTGTACTGTACGGAAATAAAAGCACTCAGTCATTTATCTTTATTAAATAAAGAAGCACAGTAATGGCACTAAGCATGAGATAACATGGTATGAAGCCTGTTAGAAATAAACTGAATGTTATGAAACATGTAAATTAACACTAAAACTTGACCTGATAGTGTTGTACTATTGTGCTTGACTAAAATATCTATTAAACACAATGTATTCAAAAACAGTAATTTTTTACTTTACTGTATGTTTTAAAAATTAAAAAAAAACAAAGTAAAAATATCTATTTCAGGACACTTCAAACACCAGTTAATCACAAAATCTGAAATTGCAAGAGGGGAAATAGATACAGAATTTAATGTGAAGGTAAAGGAGAAAGAATTTTTAAAAATCCTGGAAATATATACTTAATTTTTAAAACTCAGGGAAATTTGACCAAATCACTTGAAAATCCCTCTCCCACAGTGAATTTCCCACCTACTCCTTTGCAAAACTATTGATACCACTGAAGTTTTTCTGCCCTCAGCATTTAGATCCAGTGCTAAGAAAGTAGCAAGTTTATCTATTCTAAGAAGCTAGGAATGATGACTCATAGAAGGCCCCCTGCACTAAGCTTCTGCAGAATGACATTGTTTTTGCTCTTCCAGTATCATGCCAAAGCAATGCTTGTTGAAAAGAGTGCCAAAGAGAAAATATGTAATTATTGGTGGTGGTGGGGGGAGCATCTCACCCATATAAAATAGCTGCCCTCCAGAAAAGAAAAACAATTACCCAAACTAATTGTTCCAAGTTTAGCATGCTTGTATTTTTCCACAGGTCTTAATCAAAATCAAGCTCCAAGTTCTTCCACAGACTTTAAGCAAATAAAACAGTCATTCTGAAGTCTGGAAAAAGAAGGCCAGTAAGACCAATCTCATGAAAAATTGTGCAATAAACTAGATCTAAAATTAGTCTACCAACAGGATTGAATTAGTGAATTAAGAAATGCATATATAGTATAGCATTGTATCTATGTGTGTCTCTTATATCCTAATCCAAAGAATAAACTTTCAATTGGATTAAATTCTTTTTAAGTATGCATACAAATGCAGCCAGCCTTCATATCAGGTTCAAGCTGACAAGCAGGCTATACCTCTATAGTAATCTAGTCAAGGTAAAATATCTAAGAAATGGTACATGTAAATAGGCATAGATTAAAACAAAACAGTTCCAACGTTCAAGTATTTAGTATTTGTTTTTACGAAAGCTGAATTTAGTACTTTTTAGAAATGCATTTTGGTAATTACACTATAAGAGATCTCCTTAGATGATAGAATATATTTACTTCAATAAATAACCCTCTCTACTGGCAAGTCCTCTTGTTCCTCCTGCTGAGTAGTCTATAGAGAGCTGAATTTACACAAGGCTCTGCCCTAATGGTACTACTGAGGTGGTATACAAGATGACATATTATATGCACTTTTTCCCTCATAGCACCTCCCAATTAAAGAGAAAAAGCTTATGCAGAAAGCATTTGGCACTTAAATATCACATCCTGAAACATTTATTGGCACAATATAGTAGTGTACTACGATAGAAAACCTACATTTCAGAATCTCAGCTGCCTAGGGATTATCTCTCCGTTTTCACAATCAGAGAGAAAGGTAAACAGACAATGATAGCAGAGCACAGAATTAGATCTGGATACCAGTTCTGCTTAAAAGTGAGACAATTTATAGGAATAATTTAGTAGTTTTCAATTCAAACTCTGGGTAGTAGTGCTTATCAGAACAACTGATCCACATCAGCACATCTGTTTTTACTGTGTTGGACAGATCTTAGTCCTGGTAATTACATAATAGTTAGATTTGTTATGATTACCCACTCCAAAAGTTTCTGTGTGTCTTTACAACATCAGGGTTTACAATTAAAGAGTTTACAATTAGATGACAAGGAATCATAACAATCAAGAAGCATCACAGGGGCTCCGTAAGTTTCTGGATGGCTTTACAACATAAGTTTACAATTAAAGTAGATGACAAGGAACCATAACAATCAAGAAGGATTTTAAACATAAACAAATTAACCCAGACTTGGTAACAGAGCCAGGTCTTAAGGGTCTTGCAAGAACAGTAGGAGAATGGGCACAGTATGTATCTCGGGAGAGGGTGAAGTTAAGTATGTGTATGGGATTGCAGTCATCACACTTAAAACGAGTTTGTTACAGGTTTCTAAATTTCTCAAGATTATAGGCCCTGGTTATTAAAATCTAGCTTGTAGTATCTTGAAATCTAATGAGAGACAATTTAAGTTTAACATCCTTCTTTATAGCATATCTAATCAGATACTAACCAGCTACCAACTGCTAGCATGATCTACATGAAAAGGGGAATAAGTGTCAATCCAGTCATACAACATATTTATAAGAAATTTTCTCTTTCTACTTCATTTCTGTTTCTGTTTGGCATCACACAACCTAACACTGGCTTTTTTTAAAATCTGTAGAGCATTCAAAAAATTTTAGAAACTAGAAGTGCCAAATAATGATAATCTTACTGCCTGTTACAATATATTCTTAAAGGCTTATGGCATAAACCTTCAAGGACTAAAATACATTAGATAAATGAATTGTAATTGCACATAACTGTAGTGATCTGGTGGGATGCATTACAAATAATCCTCAACTTACAACCACAATGGAGTCCATAATTTCTGTTGCTAAAACAGTTGTTAAGTGAGCTGTGCCCCATTTTACAACCCTTTAACCACTGTTAGGTGAATCATGTGGTTATTAAGTGAATCCCCTATTGATTTTGCTTGTCAGAAGCCAGCTGTGAAGGTTACAAATGGTGATCACATGACCCTGGGACAGTGCAACTGTCAAAAATATATGCCAGTTGTCAAGTGCCCGAATTCTGATTACGTGACCACCAGGATGCTGCAACAGTTTTAAGTGTGAAAACTGGTCATGTCACTTTTTCAATGCCATTGTAACTTTGGTCACTAAATGAATGGTTGTAAATTGAGGACTACTTGTATTATACACAATACAGCTGCCAGTTGTTTCGTTGGCATTTTATGCTTTTCATCTCTTTTCTTCATATAGACAATTAAGTTAAAAATAAATCTGTATTTTAATTTCCTTTTAAAAACTTTAAATGTCTTACAGTGAACGTTCACAAACATTTTACTATATTAACTTATGTTTTCTGTTCTTCTAGAAAATACTATGCTGTGTTTTCAAGAAAGTGCAGCATAATTCAAAATCTGATGTTCTATTGGGGAAAAGGGATGGAGATAGCTCATTTTTCCCTGTCTCGTTCTCCCATTTTCTTAATTACATAACAAACTCTTCAAGAATTCCCATACTTTCCAAATACTTGCATTAGTTAACAGTTAACTACTCTGAAAATTAATAGTAATTCATCCTCAAATTAACAAGATGGTCTTTCCCTGTTTACAAATACAGACCCCTTTTCTTGTCCATAATCTGTGCAATTATATATTTGATAATTGCTGCAATTGTATTTTAATTGCTGGTAATTTGTTCAGAATAGCCTTAGGATCTATTTGAAGCAAATCATAAACTCATTCTGTACATACTGAGAAGTCCCATTTGTCATCTCATAATGAACAACGCTGCTCCTAACACATATTTGTTATTCAGATTTCTCATTGTTTGGATCTAAATACTCACTTTTCTCTTTGACTTCCCTACCTGTACAGTATACATTTACACAGCCGCTAGCAATGCAATACATGTAACAACACAGGCTTAATGATGCTCTGAGATGAGTAAACAGAGAGTCAAGAAAAAGAGAATGGAATGGGGAAAGCACCCCATGTCTCACCCATGAAGCCCCCCACTTAGACAGGCACCGTCTCAGGCAACCGGAGATGTACACCTCGACCAAAAGACAGCTTGTCACACGATCACCACAGCATGCGCTGCGTCGTGGGTCAACAGGCAAGGGACATCTGACACCCGCAGCTCTTGCTGATTAGTTCCTCAATAATTGACCACGCCGGGCGAGAAACACCTGCAGCCAAGCGAAGCAAAAGCCGGCTGGCTGTCTTCCTGCATTCAGCCGAGCCCAAAGAGGCTTCGGGAAAGCCTCTCGTTCCTCCTCCTCCCCCTCCCCTCTCGCCGTGCCGCACCTCTCCCGCCTTTATAGCGTGCCGTTGACTCCCACCTCTGCTCCCCACTCCTTCCCTCCCGGGCAGCCTCCTTTGCTTTTCTCTTCACGCCCGTCTCGCCTTCTCCGACCTCTTCCAGCCCGCCTCCCACCGCACTTCTGCTCTCCGGGGCCGCCGCGGCGCGCGCCTGCCCGAGGCAGAAAGCAGCCACAGCCCACTGCCTTTTCCTCCCCGCTTCTCCCACCTCGCCTCCACCCAGACAACCAACTGCAACCTCAAGCCCGCCCGGCCGCGGCTGAGCTGCACGCAGTGGGGGGGATGTATACGAGGGCTCGTCGCCGCGGCTGGTTCTCGTCAACCCGGGCCTTTCGGCGCCCGCGAGACCAAAAAAAAAAAGACCGAGACGCCTTAAGCTTCCCGCCGGGAAGGGTGCTTTCGTTACTCTCCACGGAGCTGTCGGCGGCAGGGATTGCAGCAGCCGAGGACTCCCCTTCTCCGAGGAGCCGTCGCTCCCGTCCCTCTCGCTTTGTTTGGCCTTCGGAGGAGAGGAGGGAGCGTCGCCAATGGCGGGAGCAAGTTTCCGCCAGCAGAGCCAGCCTCTGTCTATCTGTCTGTCTCTCTCCTCCGCCTCCCAACCCTGGAATAGCTAAAGGCCGGCCAAAAAAAAAAAGGGGGGGGGAGGGGACGTTAAAAGGCAATAAACATATTTGGGGAATGGCGCGTGCACCTAGCGCGAACTATGTCATTATTCCAGCTTGTGTCATAAGGCAGAGCTTTCTTCGTAAGGCGGTTTTCTTCACATCCACCGTCACGTCCGCAACAGCTCCTTCTTCCTAACTCTTGCCCAATGTCCTGGAATGTTGTTCTGCGCCGCGAAAAAATTCAAAATTAATAAAGAGGTTATCCCAGTAAACGTTCCTCCTTCGCAAGCGACAAGGCATCGGAAGTTAAACGTGTGTACGCCGAAGAGGATTCAGCAGAAGGGATTTAATACTCAATGCGGATGCCCTAGATATGTCTAGCGAAAATAAAATTCCTCCCGTCGACTTCACTCGAACCCACTCTCCCGAGTGGACGAGAAGATAAATTTCAGCCTTAGAAGGGTGTGGATCACGATCCCTTCTGATTGTGTGCACATGGAGGAAAACGAATTGGTTATTCCTAAATAAGGACGCGGGCTTGGTAAACAGATTACAGTCAGTGTATGGACTACTGCATGTTGATGAACTCCTAGCAGCCCTGGATTCACTGGGGAGTATGTTGAGTTCTGCCACATCTGAGAAGTCACACGTTTTCCACCTGTGCTTCATAACTATCCAATAAATTATAATATAAGTGACAAAAATACCTTGAAGCAAAAGTTCCTACAGTGATGGCTTCCTTGTCTCTTTCTCTGGAAAGGGTACTACAGATAGTCCTTGACTTAACAACAATTCAATGATTGACAGTTTAAAGTTACAGTGGCACTGAAAAAAGTGACCTGACCATTTTTTTCATAGTTACTTTTGTACCATCCCCAGGATCATGTGATCAAAATTCAGATGCTTGGCAACTGGTTCAGACTTAACTACCCTTGCAGCGTCCCAGGCTCATGTGATCACTTTTTGCAACCTTCTGACAAGCAAAGTCAATTGGGAAGCCAGATTCACTTAACAACCAGATTAATAATTTATCAACTGCAGTGATTCACTTAACAACTGTGCAAGAAATATCATAAAATGGGGCAAAACTCAATAAATTCTCACTTAACAAATTTTGGGCTTAATTGTGGTTGTAAGTCTATGACTACCTATTGTAAATTACAGGGAGTCCTCGGTTTATCACCACAATTTAGCCCAAAATTTCTGTTACTAAGCAAGACCATTATTGAGTTTTGTCCTATATTACAACCTTACTTGCCACAGTTGTAAAGTGAATCACTGCAGTTGATAAGTAATAACATGATTATTAAGCGAATCTGGCTTCTGCATCGACTTTGCTTGTCAGAAGGTAACAAAAAATGATTTTATGAGCCTGAGACGATGAATCATCATAAATACATGCTTAGTTTTGATCACATGACCATGGGACTGCTGCAATAGTCATAAGGGTGAAAAATGGTCATAAATCATTTTTTCATTGTAACTTTAAACAGTTACTAAAGGAAAGATGTAAGATGTGGACTATCTATTACAGTGTATGTAATGTTTTACCTGTAATATTTTATATTCTGTGAGGGAAATTAATTGTTTTAACATTTGATAAATAAAAGGATATATTTATTTAAGGTAAATTAATATTTACCTTAATTTCTTTTTTTAAAAATATGCTTTTGGTTTGTTTGGTTTTGTTTTTTTGTTTTTTGTGATGTATTTTTTATTTATTTTATTTTGTCAGGCAATTATAAGATAACAGATATACATATAAACATAGCTATTAATACATGAAATGGATACATATAAGAAAAATAAAAGACACAATAGGACAGGGACGGGAAGCACGTTGGTGCGCTTAAGCACGCCCCCTACAGACCTCTTAGGAAAGGGGTGAGGTCAATAATAGACAGTCTAAGGAAAGTTTTTGGGGTTTGGGGAAGAAACCACAGAGTCAGGTGGAGTATTCCAGACATTGAACACTCTGTGGCTGAAGTCATATTTCCTGCAATCAAGTTTGGTGCGGTTTACCTTGAGTTTGTAAAAGGCCTTGAAAATTAAAATGTGGTTCTAGGATTGGCTAATTCTGTGAAATGAAGCTCAAATATGTGAAAGGCATTCAGATTGGGAGACTATAGTACATAATATCACAGTCTAGAAATGTCTTTCATGTATACAACCATAGTTTGAAGAGATTTCAATCTCGTATAGGCCAAATATATTTTAATAATACAATCAAGCATTGCATTAAAATGATAGCTGTTTTGACTTTCTACTATTTTTCAAATATTCATTTGTAAAATTACTTTCAAATAATAAAATTCTTAACTCGAGTTTCTTAACTTTTTACATTTTTTTACCACATCCATTTTATCTAACTCTTTCATCACACTTTTATCATTCGGTAATTCGGTTTTTCATCAGACACTCAGAAATAATTTAGGGGGATACAGAATAATTTTTGAAACAGATTAAATCTTTAAAACATCTTGTAAATGATAAAACTAATAACAAAACATCTGGTTTTTTTCCAAGAAGGAACTGAACAGTGTCCATTTGTAAGTTCCATATAAGCTGTTTATTTTATTTGACTTTTGTTATTGTTTCCTTCTCTTTATCCCTTATTTGTTTTATTCTAATCTGTCTTAATATTTTGTTTATTTTATTAGCTTTATTTAAAAGTCCCTGTAGTATAAGTAAGAAAAAATAGAGACATAGAACCAGTCCTGGAACTTTAAAAACCAGCAGAGGCAGCAAAACAACCAAACATTAATTACCTTCTTCTTACCTCAAAAACTTCAACTGTAGATTTAATCTCTTAAAATTCTGTAAGAAGATTCAAACTGCATCAAACTCCCTTTGTAGTGAGGGTGACATATTCCTGTGGAGTGATGACTTCCAGGAAAATATTGCCTGTAACAAGCACACTGCAAATTTTGACACTGATATTTGGTTCTATGCCTCCAATGAGATTGTAGCTGATGAGTTAAATAATACCTCCTGAACACAGCTTCAGAATTTTTGGTTAAACATTGTTAACTGCTCAGACTATAATAGCCTTGTCTGAGCAATTAGCAATTATCTCGGTAAAATTTAATGATTTGAAGAAAGTGTTTGATGCCTACACAGGATGATTACCAGAGATACAGAAAACAAATTACTCTCAGTGAGTTTTTGTGCTGATTATCCCACCAACTGATTAGTAGTCTGAAAATAGCAAATCTTCTGATCCTTCAAACCCAAACAATAAAAAGGATTCTCTCCTCATATATCAACATGATCAGTTAGTTCTTCCTGTCTGTTGTAATAACATTAATGGAGGAAGATAGGCTTCCAGAGGCTCTGTTTGTTTTTCCTTGTGCCAGCTATTTTCATTGCCAGCCTCATGCCATTGATTTTGTTCATATTAACTGGCTTCTCACTATGAATGGAAATTAGTTGTTTTCAGCAATTTAATAATTTGTTGATTAAAGTAAGGACCTTTCCCACACATTTAGAATTATCTCCGTTTGGATATTCTCCAATCAGAAGGTGAAATCTATCTTAAATAATATTTCAACAGTTTACACACTCCAAACTGTTGTGTCTAATTTGGACAGTAGCCAACTTTCTTCTTTCTTATCCCTGACGTTAGGGTATATAGCAGAATGTTCTACCAACCCAAGGAAAATACAAGTTGGTCCTTTTCAAAGTAAACCCTTCAATGTAACAGCACTGTGGTTGAAAATGAATAGAGATGTTATTCAAAAATTCTAAATTTAATAAATAATCAAAGAATTTGCACAAACAATGACACTGATCCAAAAGTCTGCTAAGCATATTGCTCTAGTATGTATCAATGAGCATAACAGTAATATAAAAAGGCAATCAAGGACAACAGGGAATTGATCAGATTCTGAAGACACTATCCTTTTATCAAATATAATTCTGACTTTTTGTGGACATGAATCTTCACAATGTAATTCAAATGGATATCTTGTTTAATAAAACACAAGTTGCCTTTCTTTCTCCAAATAATGCCCTAGATCGGGGTGTCAAACTGGCAGCCTGCCGGTTGGATGCATCACACACAAGCCACACCCACTCCAGCTCCGTGAATGGGAAAAAAAATCATGAAATGTCATGTGACAGCAATATGACACAGTGAGTTTGACACCAGTGCCCTAGAAAGACAAGAGGAATTACATATGGCACCAGTTAATGGCAATAATAACTTCCACCATGAGCATGCTAACATCATTGGAGACTTTCTACAGGAGAGGAGCAGGTAAGATGAAGGATATAGTACCATATACCAGACAGGAAACATGAGGTAGACCCTGACATATGACACTTGTTTAACAACAATTTGAAGTACTGCCCATAAAGCACTTCCAGCTGTTGTAAAACACTATTACCACCCCCACCCCCTGAATTACATAGTCAATATTTTAGGTGCTTGGAAACCTGTTCACACTTATGCCTGGTAGCCAAGGCCCCACAATCATGTGAATGCCTCCAAAAAAAATTACAATTTTCTCTACCAGCTTCCACAAAAAGTCAACGGGAAAGCTGGCAGGGAAGGTTGCAAGCTGCTACTGCCTGCCAAGGATTCCGTCTTGTCTCTTGGAGGCTGGATGAAAGAGCTTTTTGCCAAGTGGGCTACTGGGTTGCATCCATGTAAGCAGGGACTGACATCAGCTAAACAATGTAGTTAGGGAACTACCAAGGGGAAGCTATACTCCCACCAACACTGGCAGGGCAAGTTATTCTGTATAAATAAGGTAAAGGTTTCCCTCGCACATACGTGCTCATTGTTTCCAGCCTAAGGGGCGGTGCTCATCTCCGTTTCAAAGCCAAAGAGCCAGCGCTGTCCAAAGACATCTCTGTGGTCATCTGGCCAGCATGACTAAACACTGAAGGCACATGGAGTGCTGTTACCTTCCCAGCAAAGTGGTCCCTATTTTTCTACTTGCATTTTTACATGTTTTCGAACTGTTAGGTTGGCAGAAGCTGTATAAATACTGTGATATAAATATAAATCACACCCATTTGTACCGATGAAGTTAAGTAGCTGGGTAATGAAACATCTGTAAAGAAGCAACCAAACTTACAGAGCACCAATGCCTCCATAGGAAGGGAGGTTCC